TTAAGGACGTTCGAGGGCATTGCTACTGCGCACGCTTTCTGCGCACGCCCAAACCGGAAGTTGTCACGAAATTGCATCACGCAAAACAAAGATGGCGACCGCTCTTGTTATGTGTTTATGAGGTTTTGTACGTACTTTTCTGAACTTCTACTTGAATGAAAAATGTCTTCGTGTTCAAAAAATGAGAGATTTACTACTGCTAAAGAATTGATGAGGCGAAAAAGTGTTGAAAATGCTCTAAAAAGTCGTAGATTGGCAGAAAAAAGTCTCTCGCAATTCAAGATGGCCTGCAAAATCTAAGATTTCGACACGAAATATTTCGACAACGAACCCGGTAACCCCAATTTCTATTTATCTTAAAAGAAGGCTACTTGGAAAAAATATAACATATGTGAAAGCGGAAAAAACGACAACAGAGGTTTCTGAAATATAGCAGTTTTAGCTGGAAATGACACCTATTCTTGACGTCGAATGTGGCGGCCTTACACGAACAAAAGTCCTAAAGAAATCAAAAATCACATCATGTAATGTTTCAAAGTCTCGTAAACAATATTAACAATTATCGCCCTCAGCTTTTGTGGAAAAATTTGGATCAATTGATATGTGTTTTATATTTTTCGGGAAGTTTTTTGGTAGACGGCATCGACCCCTTTTCGCGCGCTTTTCTTTGACAATTTTGGTGATTTTGTGCAAGAATTATCTCTAAAATGAAGCCGGTGACCTCCACTTTTTTATCGCTTTTTTGCAAGTTTATGTCATCGCGTATTTCCCCAAAAAATTTCATCGAATTGACATCACGGAATCCAATGCCAATGAACGTCCTTAAAGCAGGATTTCCCTGATTTTTCTGCTTCAGTTTTAAGCTGTCGTGTTCTGAGGAACTTTGCGTGAGCTCACTTCCTAATCATCGCACTAAGACATCCGTTTGAGTTTTTACTCATTCAATTTTTTACGAGCTTCAGCAGTTAATTTAATTAAATCTTGAGACATAGACATCACGATCGGCACGTATTTGTGCGTATAAACGAATTTATATTTATCTGTTCATGTTTGTAGATGGTTTTTCTTATTAAGTAATGTAAACACCGTTTTGAGCCTTAGAAAGTCGCACTTATGATTAAAAAGCAATAAGATGCATCACGTGATCCGATGGAAAGCGATGATTGGACAATCATACATGCATTATTTATGAGCCAGATTAAGCACATCGGATAAACACGGCTGCTATCTATAAGTACTGGCAATAGAACCAAAGTGGCGTGTTTAAGATAAATACCAAATCACAACGTGACTGCGTAAACGCGTTGAGAATAACATTCACTGGACGTGGATTTGCGGTAAAATCTCTGTGAGTAATTAAATGAATTTATGGATTGAATGAAGAAAGAAAGAAAATAGTAGAAATTAGCGGTAAACTAGTGTGAGCTGCGTCGGTGTTTCTAAAGAAACAGTTGTGTAAAAGGATATATCTAACACCTTAAAAAAAGTAGGTAAAATAACTTACTGACGTTTCGGACGTTAATCCTTCGTTGGAGTAAAGATAAGGAAGGAAATATCCCAGTTTAGGCTTCGTTGTTGTCCGTTGAGAATCATTTGACCAGTGATAACAAGTAAACGCCTGCAAATGAGGCTAGAAGTGACGATTTTTTGTCTAAACAACCCTAAAGAAGAGTGCTATTAAAGCATTTGATCGGTTATTTCCAATCTTATTTACTGCAGAGAAAAGAGCGAATATCACAACAAATCAGTTACCCAATATTACTGAAATAAGTTAGCGGTCAGAATATCTGTAAATTATTTTATTAAAACGTATTGTCTATATCTTCAAATGTACTAATCAAACTTTTTTATATTTCAGATGCCTAGAACATTCCTTGTAGTGCTAATTTATATATTAGCGGGCTTCCTGTGTAGCACGTCTGCYTTGCGAAAAGTAAATGAAGCAAGTGGGATCAAAACTGATGGATTTTTTTGTGGCGAGCAAATTTTAGATATCTATAACACAGTTTGCAATCCACGAAGTATAAGAAGAAAAAGTGAGTGCCTTAATATTACATGTTGCATTTGTGCAGAAGTAGAAATCAGCTGGAAAAATACACTTTTGATAAGTGATGTGCAATGACGCAAACTTTTATGCAACAAAGCATTCAAAAATGGTAGGACTGTAGTTTTAGTGGACACGAATCAAAAATGGCAACGCCGCAGATGCCTAAAAATAAACATAATAAACTTTTTTAGTACATTCAGCCAAGACAACGTGCTATGTATCCATTCTTTGCTCAAAATGTCCGCMATGTCAAGTCAAACAATCCATGCATGCTTTGCAATCGCAGTTTTGGACCCAGTCCCCTTTTAATAGCACGGAATTATTTTTTCGACAGGGTCACTAACAGTGGATAAAAGAGAAGCGAAAAAATTTATTCGACAAAGGCGCTCAGGATACACAATAGTAGAAGAATGCTGTACTGAGAGTTGCAAACTCGAGGAGGTCAACGAATACTGTCATCTCTTTCGTGGGCGATGACTCGTTGAACATGGAATTAAAGACTTTTTAGAGAAGATACGTACATCCAATTGTTAAAAATTATCAATTTATAGAGAATTCAATAGTGAAGATGTATGGGAAAGCAATTCGATTAACTGAAAATATTGCAAATGTTTACTTAAACTGACACGGAATGTAGGCTATCCTTCGTCACATCCGAACTCTTCCTTCGTTATTCCCTCGGTATTCCTTCGGTGGTCCTTCGGTATTCCTTCGGTAGTCCGGAAAAGGGTCCGGTTGTGACGCAAATATGAACAAAATCATTCGTAAATCAATAGTGTTCGTTAAATAGAGGTTTATATTTATACAGAAACTGTAATGATGAGCGAGATGCGTACCCTCCATATATCGGACACTCWARCTAGCTCCGCCTTCAATTAGTCCATAAAAAGTTATTGATTTCTCGCTTACCCAAACATCTTCGCGGTCTTAGCGTATGATTGTGAAAATTATTCCACCACAATGATTCTTGAATATGTTGTAGTGAATAGCTAAAGTGGCTGGCTGATATCGTTAAAACARCATTGAATATACATAGAAATGAGAATCTAATGGATGTAAACAATACTAGAAGCTGATTGTAGTAAATGGATGACGTCACCATGACGTCATGCACCAGATAAGAAGTCGAACAGTTTGAAGAAGATTAATATTATGTTATTGACATTATCGCAATAGAAATATAAACTTATTACGTTTATGTTAGATATTTACTGTGCTTTTAACTGATCGCATCATATCATTTTAAAATTTCGWTYAAGGAACTTTTTTAGCAATGCGGCCGCCATTTTGAATAAGAAAGAAATTATGGRATATGTTAAGATTTAAAACTTGGATTATCGATTCAAAACATCAATCTTGTCAATCATAATTTCTCGTTAGACGTACCCGTACTTTCTATAGTTTTTTTTTAATAAAACAACAACGAAATTCAAGATGGCGACCATGTTGCAGAAAAGGTTTCTTGTGGAAAAGAGCGCTATCAGAGAAACAGTCTCTATATATCGAGAGAGTAAAGTTAACGATGGATTAGTAAAGGTTTATAGCACCCACACTATAAATATAAATATATATATATACACACCAAAGGAAATATTATTTATATAACTATGTCGAGAATATATTTAACGTTGTTTATCGCAACGAGTAATCCATTAAAATCTTTGCATAGCTGTTTCAAATCGTAGTGTGTTGACTTCTTCCATTACTCCTCTTTACTCCGACGAAGGATTAACATCCGTAACGTCAGTAAGTTATTTCACATACTTTTTTACGGTGTTAAACTTATCTTCTTTACACAACTGTTTCTTCCATTACGGTCTACGTACAATCTTTCAATTTTTTACGTCTTTACCTTCCCTCCCTTCAGCAATGTTGTTCTCCACGCTATCAGTAAAAAGTCATGATTTTCCGGTAATACTTAGCAGAGCCATCGATCCACACAACTTTGTATCAGGGTAGGGAAGCAAACGACACTGATATATTGCGGAAGATTGTAGGTGATCGGTTTATAGAGCACTACTTACATTTTATCAATTGATCACAAAATTATTGATTGTCGATCAATTATTATAGATCAATTGGTCGGTTGTGAACAAACTTCCCAATAATTTTTTGATTAGACTGATCGTTTTGATTGATTGATTGATCTGTCATCGATGGATTCAGCAAGTTAACAGTTGCAATTGATTGACTGACTGACTGATTGATTGAGATCAGTGATTGATTAATCTTCCCCCAATACAATGTTGTGTGGCTGTCTTTTCATTGGCTGTCCATTAATTAACCCCTGCACGCAACATTGATGCGGGAGGGAGGAGAGGGAAGGGGAATATTTTCAGTTGATGCTTACGATACAGTATTTGTAATCCCCAAGCGAAAAATGTCAAGTATTTATGTCCAAGATTGTAGAATCTATCATCTAGGACAACCTAGATCTCACATGACGTCATGTGCAAGTCGAGCAGCACGTGCAACTGTAAGTGTATGGATCGATGAACCCACGTGGTGTCCTGAGGGGTAATTTATCATCGGTGTGACTTTTAGAGRCGTATGTTGTTTATTCTAGATATATTGGTTTTGTCTTGGGAGTGAAACTAGTATATTGATGGTWGGAATTATCATAAGGTTTACGGCTTATTAACGATAAAAATAAATCAGCAAAAACAATTATACAAAAAATAGTCAACGGTTAAAAATTGCAGATTCCCTTTAAGTCATTAAGTTAAGGCAGAGTTGTGAATATAAGGCACTATAAAGTAAGTAAATAAGTAAAAGYAAAAATATGTTTGCAGTTCTCACTGTTTTTGCATATAAATATTTGAAYGTTTCATGCTACCATAAGATATCAGCTTATAAACTACGCATGGCATTAACGAAAAGGCTGCTGGATATCAAATGAGTGACCAAYGGTGTACGGTGTACTCTGGACTGTTCTCTCTCAAGATCAGTGGACTCAAATGAAAAACGTTCTGCTCTAGTTCACAGCACACTGCCATTTATTAAGTAATTTACCGCAAATAAAAACGTTTTGAAGCCGTATAGATCGATTGAAAGCGGATTATATACGTGCGTACACGTGCGTGTATGTAAACGTTTACGTGCGTACTTCTTTAACCAATGTTAATATCGTTCTAAGAAACAATTAACCGTATAAAATAACGTGCCGTAAAAGTCTAGCCATCAATCAGTAYTTGAATACATCATATGACAGTTCAGTCTCCTTATGACGTAATTAGTCAATGAATTCATTTGCGCATGTGCGTCATCAACAAGAATGGTCGAATAAATATTTACACACACCCAATGATTGTATTTGGGCGTTTACTGACCTTAAAAAAATCGGTGTTTTCTTCTTTTATGCACGTCTAGCCAACCAATGTGTTGATACCAAATGTAGTACACTTCCTCTGGATTGTATGGGTTTCCTGTGGAATACATAAAAAATCGTTATTGTAAAGGACCTGGAACTGGTGTTGACATAAGTTCTTCACAGTACCGTGCACCATCTTGAAAGACAACCTTTATTTCGAAGCGAGACACATACCTGTGAATAATTACCCTCGAACACTATGACGTCAAAGCATGTTTACAGACGGGGACAGAATCGACCAAGCCAATGGCAATTTTCAAATATTCTTTCTATCGGAACGTTAAAGTTTAGATTGCGTAGTTTTCACATAAACTGTTTTTCAATGACTGTCCATATCATTCATAGTTTTCTATGTTCATTAAAAGTTTTTTCATCGCGTTTGTCCTTGTCTTGTTGTCAGTCTGTCCTCCACTAGCGACCATAATACTTAGCGTAAGAACAATACCATGATGTTTCAATATGACGTCATAGTGCTTTAGAGCTTTTGTCTGTTGGAGGGATTGTCGCTTGGATGTAAAGACACAGGTAACCCTCAAGATGACGCAGGGTAGTTTAATGTAAACACTAAAAACGTGAAAAAGGACTAACCAAATACTTCTAAATAGCACAATATAGTGTAGATTAAGGCCGAATTAGACGGCACAACGTTTACCTACAACCATCGCATGCAACCTGCGTAAGTCATCATTACGACATGGCTACAACTGTCGTGGGTCTATTAAGCAATTGTTTTAAATCCTTACGACCGTTGTAGCCATGTGAAGGATGACTTGCGCAGGTTGCATGCGATGGTTGTAGGCAAAAGTTGCGTCGTCTATTTCGGCCTTTGGACAATAGGAAATATAATAAAAAACATAATTCACTTCGATTTAGCAGTATTTAATTAATAACTTTTTCTATGTTTTAGGAACCTTTTATTGTTTCGACAAGATAATAGAGATTCGTATATAATGACAATTGTCAGTTAATATTAGGTACATATTGTAGATATGTTATAAYGATTATAAATGGTTTGACGTCATCATCACCRGCTCATGACAACWGGGAACCTGTTCACTCAGCAACAGTTACCAGTTGTTATGTCGCATATATAGGTATAGTTCAAAGGGCGTAGCCCCTTGATATATCCTTTGACGTCATCAAGAAATCGGAAAACTGCCAACACTACTAGTTGGTACGGCAACACATTGAAAACAAACAATAGAATACTCGTGAATATCGTGTCGCTATACCTCCCGAATCATCCCAATTGCTCTAAACGCGTCTAAGTCTACTGTTGTTAAAAAATTCCTTGAGAAAACCATGACATTTAATAGATAAGCATTTTAAACGATTGGGGCGATCATGTGGACACTAGGCCTAGCTAGTATATCCAACTGACTTGTGCTTTGTCGTACATTAATGCATTAGAACGATTTAGAAGACCGGTAGTAATATGTAGTTATTCTATGTAGCCTACACACTTACAATATTYAAAGGATAGCACCAGCAGTAGGGCGTTGCCGCCTATTACGCAATCACGCACGTGCAGGGTACTTGTGGTGCGCAGTTTTCAAATTTTGGGTAATTGTTTCCTTATGTACGTCGGAGTAACGTCTGAAACGTCAGTAAGTTATTTCACCTACTTTTTTACGTGTTAAATTTATCTCACATGATTCTCAACGGACAACAACGGAGCCTAAACTAGGATATTTCCTTCCTTCTCTTTATCTTTTTACACAACTGCTTCTTTAGAAACACCGACGCAGCTCACACTAGTTTACCGCTAGTTTCCACCATAATGTATAGGCCATTTATGATAGTGAATGAAATAATAAAAAGGACGCAATAACTGTGTCTTGCTATGAGCCTAAGCATGCGGTAAAATCGCTACTTTTGAAGAGTTATGGATGTTATACGTTAGGTGCGTACGCCAAAATGACAACGCGACGAACCTGTCTTGAAAGAATATAAAACATTATGGATATGCAGTTAACTCTCTTTGAACGACCTCTCCTAGTAAGCGACCATCTCCCGTAGGCGACCACCTTTTAAATTTCCCGTTTTGTTCAGTTTCCCATATAAACTCTGTAAAAAAAACTTTCTTGTAAGCGACCACTTTTTCCTGATCCCGAGGTGGTCGCTTACGAAAGAGTTGACTGTATTGTTGCTTATTTATTGTAGATATTGGTTAAATATCARGCTTCTCTACTTTTGAAAACTTGATATTTTAACGAGTGGAAGATATTTATCTTTCACATGTAAAGATATCGCTKTTGGCATAAATAGGAGCTAAGTGTTGCAAGGTTCGTCCTACAGATAATAAAAGAATAACTGCTGCGTCAAACGCACGGAGGATGTTTTATTATACATTGTACTGGAATCTTTCATAGGGTGGTAACACTGACAAATCAACAATTTGGGAGATCCCTTGACGTCATCATGATCTCAGACACTGGGCGACTAGATCTTACAGCCTCGACGTTGACCTGAATGTGATACCTGTTCCTTGAGAGCTTCAATATCGGAGAAACACTAAACCATTTTATGATATTAAAACTAAAAGGTATATGCATTTTAAGAACGTTTCCACTCATTMAACCAACCCACGAGCACGTTTCACTWTTCGTTGTTGAATTCACAGACAATTTCTCATTCCAAGACGTTTTTATGCAGTCTGTWTTAATGGMGTGTTGTCCTAATCTGATGGCCATCAATTCTCAGTTATTGAATCAGCTCCAACTGCACAGCACTCAGGCAGCGTGCCAAATTGAAGCGACACCATATCAAAGCACGATGATATTTGAGCTTGTACCATAAAAATTTAAAAAAAAACCGTTCTCGTGTTAGGTTTCTCCAATATAAATACAAGTCGTCCTAACGTTACCGACATAAGAAACACACAAAAAAAGTTTTCAAATTTAGATGATTTACAAAAGTAGGGGGTGGACTGCATTTCCCATAATGCTTTATTCCAGAAATGCATCGCTAGACCTGACTATCTTGTTTTTCTAACCTCCGTTCGCCATTTGCAAAAAGGGGTGGTTTAAGGTATCCACTCCTTAGATTTTGTATGGATTTTATCTTCCGGATGTGGATTTATCCGGAGAATAGCGCTATACACCCTTAATATAACCGACCCCAAGGGCTTGTAGTACGAATGGTGGGTAGGTATGTATGGATTTCGCACGATGGATAAGGGTTTATCTGGATGAAGGAGCTATTCACCCTGCTTACCGACTGATCAACTGACCCCATTTATTCAACCATTCTTTGTAGATTCTTGAACCAGGTCCAACTTCACTAAAAACATCTGTTTACTAAGGTATCGGTGTCAAAGTCTAATGATGAAGAAATTGAACTCAAGATCCCTGGTCATCACGTCAAAAGCAATTATAGATCAATTCCTTGATAATAACAACCTCATGGTCCAAGCAATCAAAGTATGGCTTAAGGAGAATATACCACGTGGAAGCAAACAGCATCTTAAATTTATGTTGTAAATCAATCATATCTTTTCAATAGAGTATGGTGGAAATTAGCGGTAAACTAGTGTGAGCTGCGTCGTCTTTCAAAAACAAAAAACAAAAACAAAAAAAACAGTTGTGTAAAAAGATAAATTTGAACACAGTAAAAATGTAGGTAAAACCAACTTACTGGCTTATTCTTTTACGGTGTTAAAATTTATCTTAATACAGTAAATACTTATTTTAATCTCGAAAAACGCTCAAAGTAACATCTTGAAAAGGACAGCAAACGCAATGTTTTTAAATTAAATGAAAAATCTGCAAAAAGGTAATCTTGGTGGTATGAAGAGCTTGCAGCTAGGTACAGTATCTTGAATTTTTGTCGTAAAAGTCATAGTTTCCTAGTGGGAACTTGGCAGATCTTGAACAACCGGACCGTGCAGCAAAAAGAGTAAGATTCTTTTGTAAAACCTTATTTTTCAGGCATTCACCATTGATTATGTGATTGGTGCTAATGATAACGATGAATAACATGTGGAGAATTATACCAGCAGGCATTTCTTGCTTGAGGCCGAGAGAGAATGGTACCAGAAGATCTCTCCTGATCAACATCCGAGGAACACATTGATGAGAGGCAGATGAGAGGTTTATATAAATAAAGGTTTATTCATTCATTCATTCATGATAGAAGCAATATGTAATCAGCATCATTAGACATTTGCATAGAAGCAATACATGATAGATCTTTTATCTCGTTAAGTCAAGCTAAAACACAGTTGCATTGAAATTTCGATTTTTAGCATATAATTATCAAACATTTGCGCAAAACAAAACATCAATCCTTATTAAAGAGAAAATTGTTCTTTGAGATAATATTTTGCTATATCAATGCTTATCAAAATGTTGATACCGATTGATGATAGCTATATTTACAAGATTAAGAGCTTCTTTTTCGGCATCCAAAACAGAGTAGCCCCATGCAAACTAGCGACTCGGACCAACTGCTACAACCTTTTCAATTCCTTACTGCGCGCTGAACAATAGAATGGCTTTAGTAAGCTATTTCCAAACGCGGTTGCTTAGGGAAGGATTCAAAAAATAGTAAAGTAGCACAATAGTAAGATGTGATGATTCAGTGAAGGATAATATAGACAACTATTTACACTCTAGATTAAGAGATTGACAAGCCTTCTTTCTAGGGAAATGCAACGATCACCTTGAGAATAAAACCTGAAATGAGAGCTCTGATTGAGGACTCTATGTTTTCGTGAGAAAGGGTCGCATGTTTTTGAGAGTGTTATGACATAAAAAATAATTTTATCATATAATTATCTATGAAATACCTATATTTCTCCATTACGTAAAATTGATATTTTCACTAGTGATATTTTCACTAGTGAAAATAACACATTCGAGGTTTCTCTATATAGTGGAAGTAAGAAAAAAGATATTTTCCGACATAATTTGCTTTCATATTTAATTATATGATAAACAGAATATTACATGGTCGCTTTGAGATACGAATTTTATCTTCTCGTGTTGAAAATCTCTCACTCGTTTGCTACGCTCACACGTGAGAGATCTTTTCAACACTCGAAGATAAAATCCGTATCTCCGCGCGCCCATGTAATATCCTCTATGTCTTATCGTCTTTTCTTCTTCAAATAGTTAAAAGCAAATAGTTTCTTTGCTGTTGACATTAGAAATGGTTTAATAAAGCTTTATTTCAGTGGATGAATTTGACTGCACCCATTATCTCTTACGCAACTGAATACTGAAAATTCTTTTCGACGGAAGATAACCTGAATTGTTTTTTCGATAATAACCGATCTTTTGTACAAATGTCTCGAGTGTTTTGCAAAAACAACAACAACAACAATAAGAAGATAACATACCTATGACAGTATGACGTACAAAAACAAATTTGTTGATGTGGTTAAGTTTGAAAACTGCTCATTTTACATGTCGCAACAAGGAAAACCGCGGCCATAAAACAATAAGAACAAAACGCAGAAGATTATTGTGAAATATATGTATATTTTAATTTTGGTAGTTAATTTTATCTATACAATATCGCTTTTAAAAACGTTTGGTACTTTACACATATCTTGTCATTAATATAAGTATTAAACTTATAGATATTCTGACTCAGCGAAGTAAATAAGGCTTATTACCTCGCTTATAGACAAGACCTTTTTAAGCCCATTGCACGTGTTTGGATTACAAACATCGACAWATTACTAACACTTCTCAGTATATAAACACAAGGAAATGTCTTAACAAAGTACAACCTGCTAAATCCCCCATTGTGCACTGTAGAAATTATACACAGATTTCATTATAGTAAAACAGTCCGGCAGCTTTGTGAAAATCATGAAAATRTTTGATAGATTCCAAATGGATATCATTCATGAAGTGGCGGTCGTTTCCAATGCGTTTACAAATGATTTCGAGCCTAATTGATGAAAAGCCGTTTGATTACTTATAGAAACGCGTGATATTTCCGTAAGCTTAACGCTTCAATGTCTTGATTAAAACAGCTTAACGAAGATTGGTTGCTATGCAAATTTGAGTTAACARCTCTTTTTTAGAGCGCGCTACAGCAGGAATTTTTTCTGGCTATGCTCTTCATGTTTTTTTATAATCCATATTTGAAATCCCCACAACTTGACTAATATGTCAAAATGCATAGACTATTTCCTTACAGAAGGGACAAAAAACTGTGAAGCTGTTTATAAACTTAATATATTTATTCGTATCAAGAATAGTTTACCTAGTTGCACGTTATGAGTTCATAGAGCCTTTCTTATACGGGCACGAAGCAACAAACCAACCTTGGTCGCAAAAATGAGGGTTAAAGATATGACGATTGCTTTACAAAAACCTCTGCCCGATATAAAGATGTCCGGAATATAGAGTTGTCATTCATACATGTTTGTTCAGTAGTGGCATGTCGGTACTATCAAGGTGTCCGTGATATAGAGGTGTTAGAAGTAACATAGATGTCTGTAAATATAGTCTTCTCCGTAATACAGAGTTGTCACTAGCTGTCTGTAATATAGAGATGTCTGTAAATAAAGCTGTCCATAAATCAAATGCCCGTAATAGAGAGGCTCCACTGCACGTAATTAAAAGTGAACAATATTTATAACGTCACTGAGATTCATATTACTTTCTAATAGTTATTAATAATATATAATTCTATTCTACTCTACAATGGCATGCAGTGCAACTATAGATGTATCGATTTGCTCATACACGAGCGTTGATTGGTTAATTAAAGGTGAATTATTTTGAGTATATAACTGGTGTTTTGTGCTGGTGATATATCTGATAAAAACTACTTGAATCAAGCTTGATCACGAAAACAACTCAAGGATTCTAAATCCACGAGTTAAATAAGTTCGACTTAAGACCAAAAAGCATTGTGGCAGATGAAATTGCAATAAAACATGAATTTATTGCATTAAAAAAGTTTMAAAAAGCTCAAAAATAAAAAGCTAAAATTTCCAAGCAATTCTAGCCGTTGATTAGTAAATTCCCACAATGCCTATTGGCCCCATCGATGTTTTACCTGCGATCAACCTCTATTGAAGCAGTTGTATAAGTATGTACGTAGAGGACATGTAAGTCCATAAAAACCGCCAAATTGGCRGAGCACAATATAACCATTTCTCAGAGAAAATTACATACCTATTCAATGAATATTCTGTTATATRACTGGTTAGAAAAAACCTTACTATGGTCGATAAAACATTTGGAGTATTTCAAATGAAATTAACCCTAATGCTGTTAGATTTATATAATTGAAATGCCTGACAATCATGTACTATGGGGGTGGTGGTGGGGATGGAATTTCTTCCTGTCCCCCACCCCCAAAGTTATGTTTGTCAAGCTGAAGGTGAAATAGTAAGTGCATTATAATGAATTTTTCATTTTGAAAAAATCTTTGTCAAAACTAAAATATATAAAAACAAAAAATAAAAAAAAATCCCCTGGTTAAGTGATAGTGCAGATTATTTAGTTTGATTTTTCATTTTGAAAAAAGTATAAGTGGAAATTTAAATGCTTAAAAATAACCATAAAAACTCTGCTAATCAGACTTTCTAATTTCTAAAAGATATTTCTTTGGATTTAAGTTTGTCATAAAMGACAAAAGTTTGGTATCCATATATGGACATAAGGTGTTCTATTTTTAACGTGCACTGTATTACCCCGGTGAAAGTTTATAACTACTAATCTATATTTATACGATTATTACTGAGAAATATTCTCATAAAACAATAAATTTTCCATTAAAATCTGATAAGCGCAAACACAAAATACGAAATCCTCGAGAAAAATGCGAGGTTTCTTTGAAAGCAAACTACAAAAAATACTATAATTTCTATACTGAGAAATTTTCTCTGAATGCCAATCGTTTTCGAAAAACAAAATAATATGCGAAACTACGAAACTATGAMAAAATTTTACGAAACTTGCGAAATCTTATGAAAATTCCGAACTAAAAAAATCATTATGTCTATTTTTGCGAAAAATAGTTGCACTTTCTTCAAGGAGAAAATTCCCACTCGAAAAACAGAGTAAAAACACTATTTTGTGAGAGGAAAAATACGAACTACTATAGGTATTAGCTATACTTATTTTACCATAAAATACATGTTAATGATATATTTTCTGTTAGAAAGTTCTTCACYGTGCATGATGCACGAATTTTATCGCCGTATATCACAGCTACACTTGCCATTTCGTAATGGAGGGTATGYGGATTCAGTCATAACATGACTTTACACTTTCAGCCCATGAAGCTATAATAACTGGCTTGAGCCATTGGATTACCAAGCACATGAACAGGTCCTGGGTAGGGTGCAATATCAGGGAGGTCCATGAGAAGACTGTTTATTTGGTTCTGCTGTAGGAGACCCATGCCATTTGGTGCCTGTGGATGTGGTTAATGCGTTAGATTCGTRGTGACATGCATAAAACCATACATAAAACAACGAAGAAAGATAGATCTAAAAATGATTGTTTATCCTAACACAACAGACTCTATCTAAAATAAGTGCAGTGTCAAAAGCGAGTGACATTTTTCATAACAGCGAAAACATTGACAACTTCGAACGCGTCGTTGATCCGAGTTTTAATAACTTAAGCCTTGAATTCCAAATCATCGCAAAATTCCTTAAATAACTAAATAAATATTTCAAATACGTAATTTTCCTAAAGCGAATTGAAATCCAATGCGYGTAATGCTGCAAAAGAACCTCAAAACGAAAAAAGTACACCTTCTTACCCGCGCCACTTTGTACGCATTAAARTGTATTCAAACTTTTGCAAAAAAAACTCCGTGATTTGTCACTAAAAGGAGTTACTCTAACGGTAGGTGTTGGCTGATCTCTTCGTTTGGTTGAATTTTGAAGCTCGGCTGCACACCATAACTGAACGCGGTAAAAAACTATGATATTCAAATWAGTACAGCAGTCGTTGTACTTACAACGCGCGCTTTCAAAACACYCCTTGCTWAATACTATCATACTGACACTTTGCAGGAACTTAAAACAATGTACTTTAAATGGATCAAGATAAGTATAAATGGATCAATCTTATGCTATTTTAGACTATTTAGAAGCAAAGGTTGTAAATAAGGTGTGCCTCGAAATCTTGACCTCAAAACCATGACATGGAGGGCATTTGCATACCTCTATCTCAAGCTTTTACGCTTCGATAAGATATTATAAAAGATCCTTAATAATGAAATGAACGATTTTCACAGAAATTCACTTTATAAATAGCCCCCCTAAATCCTTATTTATTAGAATTAGGCACGTGGCAAAGTTAACGCTTGTAAACTGGAAAGTTAAAAGTACATTRTTTTAAGGGAGTTGACACGTATATTCCTAGAAATCTCGCCAAATCTGTCAGCCGTTTTGAAGTTATTATAACGAAATGTTGAACCGCACTTGTAAATAATCTCCTACCGACTTAAACGTGTTTTTGACACGATGGMCCGATAATTGATAATTAAAGTAGCGTAAAGAGTTTGTTGTGTCAACCAAGAAAAATAACTTGGTCCTAATGATTTGGTGTTGGTGTATCTACACGGACAGACGCCCGGAGTAAACAWCTTAACCAAATTAATACCTTTTGCCTATTAAAGTCTTATTTGCTCAATATGATTATAAAACTRTATCTAAAATATCCGCATATTACTTGACGAGGCAATAAAACTCTTACCTGYAGTTTAAATGCTTCGTGGTACCAACCAACTTGATGCAGCARGCGTCGTTCTCTCTCAATTCTGTTACTCTCATTTAGAACCTTCTGAAGATGTCGAATATACTCGATGGCAGTCCGAAGYGTCTCGACTTTTGAAAGTTTCTTATTTAATGGCGTTGTAGGGACRTGTTTTCGCAGATTAGCAAAGCCATCGCTGACAAGTTTAACGCGGTTTCTTTCGCGTTCGTTTCTTCGTAATATTGAAATATGCTCTCTCTTGATGCAGTGTGGGGCTTGGCATTTCGCTTTATGTTTGCTGGATTTCTGACYCGAGGGACTGCTTCCAGACGWTTTTGCGGAATCCGTAGACCCCGTTGTTGASTGGGAAGAAATGCTTGAAGTTGACAAAGGAGAATCYAATTGCGTGTCCAGTGAAGTTGGCGAACTTAATGGCGAGCAATACTCGGAACTTGATGTTGGCGAAAGGCTTTCATCATCGTAGCTTAGCTCTGATAAATCAAGGTCATCGAGATTTGGAAGCGGGAAATCATCCAGTGCAATTTCCATGTTCACGAGGCAAGCCACTTGATTCCCGGGCCTCTCAATCCAGCGTTAAAGATGTCGCGCGCCTCATACGTCGCGAGCGCCTCAGAGACTTTCACAGTAAACCGTAGTCGCCTAACTAAGCACACTGAGACGCGTGGAGCATATAAAACGATTGCAGAGCTTCCCGAGAGATTTCACGGAAGGCTGATCAAGCCGTCAAAGGAGGGGCAAGCGAGAGCCCCAATACAATGACAAGCAGGGCCAGCTAAGTGCCACAAGAGCGGCCGACGTATTTGTATGAACTAATCTCCACGTCAAAGGATTCATTTGTGTAGTGAGCATTTTGCGTGGCATTCGCGTGGCTAGAATTGTAATTAGTAGTAGCTGACAATGACTTAATGCGCTGTCAGTGACCACAGCTTAGATTATGAGATGGGTCAACAAAATCACAACTCATCACCACWGMYTCAAAATTGTCCACGCGACTCAAACATGTATCACTGACACCCAAACTAACCATTGTGTATTATCTAAATGAACTAAARCATCAATCACCTAGCACTCTCAATCAAGTCAAATTTTAGGGATAATAGCTTGACACTACGGGGATTGTTCYACAGAGTTTTGCATTTGAAAAGAAAAATAGTTTAGGTTATTACGGAATAAATATGCGCCATGTACATATGCAAAAGTGTCTTGAGTTTGTTTTTCAGGCTTTTTGSCAATGTTTCAGCCAATGTGAAGGTTCAAATATTTACTTGCAATAGAGTCATTACGTTAGGGAACCTTTCTTATGCTAATGATTATTGGACTGGCCTCATCTAGGGAATTAAACCACTGAACACACATTAGAACCTGCACGAAACCTACAATGTATCAACAACTAAACTATCAAATACAAACTTGACTTCAAAAACTTTCAAATGATCTTAAAAAACTTTCGAGTTGGTTCRATATTGTAGGTAGTGATAAAGATCAAAGTGGCCTTGGCATTTTGATCATCGCAGACTGTAAATAAGACTAAACAATGGCTTTTCTGAGACTTAAATTCCTACACATATTGAGTGTTGTTTTCTCTAATGGTACACTTTTGGTGGCAAGAGTTTTTGTTCCTTCGCGCGATTCAAAGCTTTTCCGCTGTTAATTAACAGTTCAGGCAATAAAAAGTTAGTTGATTTATCACCTTAGAGGGTCGAATGATTGATGAGTAATCTAGGGCGTGAGTAATTGTTTAGCTTTGGTACCATGAAGCGCGTGCCAGCACACTCATACAGGACACTTTGCCAAACGAAGTTACACAAGCTACTGCAATATACATCGAGTCTTAAGTGCCCTAACATCCACCTAAACACTGTCAGTAATGCTAACGAGAAAGGATTGCACTAGGAACGTATTATAATGACAAACGCTGTTCATTTACTTGTGCAAATATGATTACTTTGCGAATAAAGGTCATTGTGAATTATCAGACCGCTCGTGCCATACTCTAAGTTTATGCATTCTTTTGGCGATAAGCATATGCGACGCCAGGGATCTACTCATCACCCTCAGATTTACATTAAGATCTATATAACAATCGCTGATAAGAACACTTGCAGGATAACTGATTTTACAATGAATTTCCGATAGATGCTAGACRCTTGTTGACAAACAGCATATCTGGGTTTCTAAGTCACAAATGGATAAGATAAAAGCTGGGAATTGACCGACTTTTTTTGCTTTAAGATTGCAACTACGTGACTAGCCCTTAGTGTTTAACAAAGGTTACTCTCCTGCACAAGTTAACAACCCATGGGTTTGTTTTAAAGTTTGTTTTTAAGTTCCTTTTAATAGATTAGTAGAATGACATCTATGGTAAGAACAATGTTTGTTGAAAATTAAGTTAGCGCCAGATAGCAACTCTTTCCATTGTATTCCACGCTTGACCTCTGCTCTTTCAAACCTTGAAAAACAAGACTTCAAGAACAACAACCTTCAATTCCACCCTAAAAACAACCCAAACTTCTTTTTGCAGCAATGRCTTAATCAAATAAAAACCGAACAAAAAGTTGCTTAGATGTCACTTAACTTGTTTTTTAGTTACCCAAACTATTTTATCGTGTTGTAATCAGAATCAAAAACATCAAAGACAAGTGTTAGCACGTGCTGGGGCTCAGGGTATGAGCTCAAGCACTCCTTGATTTAATTTAATTGTCAAAAAAGCAAACACATTCCATTCTTTAGGGGTATTAGCACGATCTTTGGTTGGTTTTGAGTTTCTTAGCTTCCCCTGTGGCTGGTCAACTATTTAACTTTTGGCATATCGCGACGCGTGCCYCAGTATTCTCTTACTAAGAGATCCACTCAGAGCTAATCCCTGTCGAAGCTTCATTCCTTTCAATCGGCCCATACAATATAGATTTGTCTGAGTGGCYGTGAGGCAGTCAAGTGGCCCCACACATAGCATATCATGACAAGATCACGTGAGTTACTTTAGAAACTTCAAAGTTTCAATCGCGACTTTTTAAGTTTGTCAAACCAAYAATGATCATAGRAWTATTAAACTRCAGTRCAGACGCTAGAAGTGTGATATGGTYRTGACTATTAAAGTATGGGGGGTTTTAGACTAGCTTAAAYGTAAGTAAAGCTCAGACCAGATAATGGGCGTCAAATCAATGCTTCTAAWKAGACAGTTCAAAAGAGTAAATTTACAACATAAAAAGATTAATAWACTGGTGTYGCARGCGTTGTTACGTAAAGCACACACTGTCGAGTATAGGAATGCGGAAACTTTTCGAAGTGTCTGCTTGGCTTGATTCAGCTAAAAGCTTGCCTTTTATATTTTAAAAGTACAATTTCAGTTCACAACAAATCAATTTATAGAGGGCCTGAAACTGCACAAAATCGCGACCCAGACGTATTTTAAAGATATAACACAACTCATTCCAGATTCCGTACTTTACAAAAATACATTSGGTAAGATACCAGTACGTTCGCTGCTATAAACGCTTATATATTGCGGATAAAAAGAGAGAACAGTGTCGGCACCGTAACTGAATCGCGGATTCCTGCGGAACGGCATCATTTAATAAATTCTGCGGCCGCATTCATGCAAATTTGAAGCATCCGCTGCAGGCGCTAGGCGTTGTACAAAAGAATATTCACAASGCCGGAAAAGGAAAACGGACGCTGCCAAAACTACAACATGACCTTGCGACAAGAACACATTTACGACAAAAGATTATTCGGAACGCTGAATACRTATGCCGTACAAACGCGGTAAACACGTAATGCCGACAAAGCAAGCGGATTCTGCCGCCCACACTGCAACTCAATGCGCATACCTTGGAACACAAAGACACATTTCCGACTAAAGATCCGAAGCATCCACTGAAAGCGTACGGCGTACAAACGGGAAACGTACGTAATGCTGACTAAGTAAGGAGGCCGGAACGGCAACTTAATGCGCAAACCTAATGATGGACCAAGAAACTTTTCTGACTCAGTGCTATAAAGATCCGAAACACCCACTGAAAACGTRCAAAGCCGAGCAAAGGAATTTACGTAACGCAAGCAAAGGAGTAACTACACGTGAATTCGACGTGCGTCCCTGCGTAAACACAACGTAAAAGCAGCACGTAATTTATCGTCCGAAAGATCGTAGTGCGCTTATCGTACGTAGCGTGACACTCTTTTAAAGTTGTAAAGATATGGCATACAATAAAAGTCAAGATGGCCAGTTGTATGGAGGGTGGATAAAGGTATTCACTACTTTGATTATGTATGGATTTTATTCGATGTACGAGGCGATTTACCATGTCGTGGATAGCGTTTTTCAACYTTCGTACAACCCGTCATAGTTATAGAGTCAATCTCGTATGAGTGTGAAACGTACGGTAGAAATTACCGCACAGTTACCGGACGGTTACCGGACCTGGCCGGCACAATTTTTGTGAACCAATGGGGCACTAGAATTTGGTTACAGTACGATTACGGTCACAGTACAGTACCATCCGTTTCCCACTCATACGAAATTGACTCTATAAAACGAAAGTAAGTGTTCAATAAACCGATCATCAAGAGATTCATTACATACTGGACATGTACTGGAGGTTATAGATTCGCCATTAACAAATCCCTAACTATATGTAAAAACGAATGGTGTAGTTTCTTACGGATATTCACACCAGACTTATACTTGGTATAGAATAGCAGCTTCAGCTAAAATGATATTATTATCGAACTAAGGCCCTAGTTATATAAAACGGAAGTGCTCGATCATCAACAATTATCAGATAAATGAGCTTATAGATTCACCAAGATCGAATTCAAAACTGCGTATGTTCTAAAAATCTTGTTTTACGTTATGTATTTTTACAATGAGCAAAAAAATATATCAAAGTCGTTTTGATTTCGCGCGAAAATTCAACGCTACATTGAACTTAAAAAACGGTTGCTACCCGAATGCGTACCTYAATGTAAGCACTCCGCAACGACACCTTGTGTTCCTAAGATACGGTTAATCAAATAATCATTAGATATTATTTTTACAAACTGGTTTGTTTAAAACGTATTCATTAGCGTTTGATAACAATAGTTCTGTAATAGCTTTGCTCACGTAAGACTCTATCATGATTCGATCGGAGAGAATGTTTTTACATAGAGACTAAACTACAGGTTTCTTGTAAATAATCTTTTAGCGTAAATATTTAATAATAAGATCCAATGGTTTACTGAAGGATAAAAGTTAGAGTTTTAAATATCAATGAAACAATAAAAGAAAAATAAGTTAACTGAGTTAGGACCAAACAATTCTGACGGAGGATTAACGTCCGAAACGTCAGTAAGTTATKTCACCTACTTTTTTACGGTGTTAAATTTATCTWTTTRCAYAAYTGTTTCTTTWGAAAYACCGACGCAGCTCACACTAGTTTACCGCTAGTTTCCATCATTTAGGACCAAACAATGACTGTTTGTATAGACTCGGAACAAGTTGTGGCCGCCAACCACTCATAGTTACTATAGGTCTGACTTCATCAAAACCATTATATTAMAACTAACTACTGAATAACTTAGTTGTTATAGAAGAAGGTTATAATCATTTATAAACTTTGAAAATCTGATCGAATATCGAAAGTATGTATTATTATATAATACAAAGCATAGACTTTGTAATTTAGTATGAAATTTTTTACAGAACTGATTTTTAAAATGAACTCATGCGAAA